ACGTAGTTCAACTACGAGAAGAACTACAGAAACGAAGCCTTGTCACAAGTGGCAACAAAGAAGTACTAGTTGCACGTCTGAGAGAAGCTCTCATTGACGAAGGTAAGAACCCAGACGAATTCAAGTTTGATGGTGCTGACGAAGACAATGAAATTAGCACAGGCACGTTTACAACCGCCAAAATGATGGAACTTCTGCTTAGTATGTCAACTGAAATAAAACAGATCAAAGAACAGTCTGAACGACAGTCCGAACGACAGACAGAGGAGTTAAAACAGATCAAAGAACAGTCCGAACGACAGTCCGAACGACAGACAGAAGAGTTAAAACAACAGATCAAGGAACAGTCCGAACGACAGACAGAGGAGTTAAAACAGATCAAGGACCAGCTAAAACACGTAAAAATGGGAGTGGCAGAACAGATTGAAGAACAGTCAACAAGAATAGAAATGATCGAACAGAAACTTGATCGTCAGACCGTTGAGGTAGATCACAAGATAGACAAATTGAAGCGAGAATTGGAGCAATCCAAAAAAATGGCCATGCCGTTAGATCACGCATCTGGAAGAACTTTGAAGGTACCAGCATTTGACGGAGAGATGTCCTGGAACGTTTATAAAACCCAGTTCGAAGCAGCGGCAACTAGTAACTGTTGGAACGGAAAAGAACGAGCAACAGCACTGATACTGGCCCTGCGAGGTTCAGCAGCAGAGGTTCTTCAGACGATTCCGGCGGAGAACCACTTCAACTATGAAGTTCTGGTTAGCGCGTTGGATTTACGTTATGGTGAAGAACACATGAAGCAGATTTATCGGTCTCAACTTAGAAACAGAACGCAACGATCTGGTGAATCCATTCAGCAGCTGGCACAAGATATCGAACGGTTGACATTGCTGTCGTATCCAACATCAGACCCCGAGCACAGAGACGAAACTGCCCTGGATACGTTTATCAAAGCCCTTCGTGATTCGGAACTCAAGCAATCCCTTCTCTTGTCAGATAAACGAAAACTCAAGGATGCCGTTGCGCACAGTCTCACTTTTGAATCGGCAAAGCAAGCATCAAAAAGTGACGTACGTCTACGCCAAGTACATGAAGAATGCTCTTGCCAGAAGNGTGATTGTGAAACGCGAACCC